CCCCAAGTACTCCCCGTCCAGCCCCAAGTACTCCCCGGCCAGCCCCACCTACTCCCCGCAGACGCCCAAGTACAGCCCCACCTCCCCCTCCTACTCCCCGACGAGTCCCAAGTACAGCCCCAGCTCGCCCTCTTACTCGCCGACGAGCCCCCAGGATTCCTACTCGCCCATGTCGCCCGGTTACTCCCCTGCCTCCCCTTCCTACAGCCCAAGCAGCCCCGACATCGAAGCTGATGATTAGATGCTGCTCAAGTGAGAACTACAGTACGCAGGCCAAGCATTACCCCCGTGGGCACAAGACCGCCCCATGGGATGAGGGATATGAGAGCCGTGGATGGCTCTATGCAGCACTGATGGGCACCAGATCGGGAAATATTTCCTTTGACATTTCAGATGATGCACTGTGGGCACAGTGGACTTTGCCGATCAGTGCACTATTTCTGTATACTGTACATGTGCATTACCTTAAATGGACCCGAAGTGCAAACTGTTACGATTTGATTGAAAAGTCTAGCAAAAATAATTGAAGTGTTAATAGTGCATGTCAGGATATTTGGCTCTTCAGTTAACTCAGTGTGCACCTTATATTCTTTACCGTGAACTATTATTACGTTAATCATATAATGTTTATACTTTATAAATATCGTAATATTCATCCGGCCCTCTCCCAAAAGAGCGTTAAAAATGAACCCTAACACTCCTCAATCCTTCACCTGTTGGAGGGCTGAGGACTGTTAGGGTTAATGGTTGGAAAAAAAAGTATGTTGTATTTAAAAACATCCTTGTACTTTGTGGAGAAAAATTCCAGAATATGAACGTTGTCACAGATTTGATTGCAGCTTACTTCCCAAAGTTTAACTTGCCCTCAAGACAATCTCGTAGCCTCGAAGGGGCCAACCAACGACTAATTATGCTACAGTGAAGACAGTAAAGCCCTTTGCATTCAAACTTGTACTCACTTACTGCGGCTCCACTATTGGATCGACTGATTAGATCTCTATGCTTCTCCAATTCTTATGATAAATTTTTTGTCACTCTAGAGGATTAGGACTAACTTTGCCGAAAATCTGTGTATTGCTTAGCAGTTGAATGCTCGCAGAGTCATTTACCAAGTGAAATGTTATGCGTTCATGTGTGTTTCCTGAGCCTGGTTACCAGCTTAGCTCCGTATATATGCTTACCACATAAACTCAGTAAGCAAAATTGTTTTCTTTTTTACTGAGCAACTTCGTGAAATCGGGCCCTGAGATCATAATGGCCAAATGATACTCGGCTTCAAATTTGTCAGAGAAAACACAGACGGTAGTGTCAGAGTATGAAATTATGGTCGGACATTGAACATGTCCCAACTTCATGTACTTGTAGTATTTGTCCGACCCAAAGCAGATGTGGTCTGACAGAGTGTCTGAAGGAGATCGCAAGGTTCAAGTCCAAAGAGCAGCAATCCTGTTTGCGGCGGTTGGTGTTTTTACCGTAGTTTTTGTGCTTATGATATTGAAATTCTTCGAGTGTGACCTTGGCATATGCCTGATCAAGGGCTGATAATGACAGAATGAGATTGATCGTCCGAGCAAATTTTGCCCGACCACTTTTCTGACTTAATTTCGTGCTCTGCCTGGCATTGTGACTGCAGTACCTTTTGGAGGGGGGTTCTTGGCTTATGTGTGGCCAACTATTTTTTAAGCCAAACAAAATCTCATTTGACTGTTCAGTTGGGTCACGGTACGACAGATGGACCCACCTCTGGCACTAATCGGCAAGTCCTGAAACATTTTAAACATTGCAGTCATTGGAGGAAATTGAAACTTGTAACAACAAAGCCCCCCCCCCGAAAGTGAAACATTTCAAAATCACTGTCAGAAAGGAGGCTTATTTGAAAGAATCCATTTGCTCGTTCCAAGTCTCATGGTGTCGCAGTTGAACCGAGAGTACTTCCATTAGTAAAAAGCTTTATCAGTGATAGTGTACGCATTTGTTGCGGATTTGTCTTACTTGGGCAAATCGCAAGACTTTGTCAAAGTTACGTGATTCATAATCATCGGAAGAAATGATAATGGTGTACAACACTGACAAAAAAACATGACCTTGGGTGCGAGCTTGTTTCCTCTTGGGCCCTGTCAATTGTTTCAAGGTTGTTCTTTGAGCTGGTAACATTTCAGATGAAGTCGGTTTTTTTTAATGTACTAACCGTTTGTTTGATGATTCTCAGCAGTTGACGTACATTCTAAAGTGGATCTTTAAACACAAAGTGCTGTTTTAATGACTTCAGGAAAACAAATCATTTGGATGCGATTACGTGCAGTTGATGCTGGGTCTTCACACATGATGGCGCACTGCGTGTGCAGCTGCGCGTTCCTTTGTTGCAGGCTAAGAATGTGGAAGGTGTGGTAAGGGTTCCGTTGCCCAGTGATGCCTGAAACAGGTGCAGCGAGTTAGACCAACTGCATTCCAGTCTGAACCCGTTGTTCAAATGACGCGCCCACATGCAGACACGTAACAGCGGTCGCATATGTGATGCGCTTCATGAGTACCTCTGTGAGGGTTCACTTTTCACATCTCTCTTTGTTTGGCACATCATATTGGAACTCTGTCACAATGGCTCTTCTTCATTGCTTTGTTCTGTCGCGGATGAGGGAATTCAAGCCGGCGGGTTTCAGACAAAATCCCAAAATGTACTTGTTGGTGTGACCGTAAAAGCCTGAAGTTTTAAAGTTGGAGGTTAAGCGAGTGAAATGTATTTTTAGAAATCGTATCGTGAATGACACTTGCAGGATCTATTAATTAAACAGCGTGCCAACATTTGTAAATATGTTCCGTCGGGCTAGTTATCCATTATTGAAGATCTGATGGAAAAAAAGGGAAAAATGTACATTATTTGAGAGGTTCTCGTGTTGTCAGAGAAGAAGTTGTGAATCAGCCTAAATTCGCTGTACATGTATTTTTCGATAATGAAATAAACATTATGCTGAGCAGAAGTCAAGGTGTGAGTCTGTACGGTCTAATCTTCTTTCAATGTACACTGTGCAGATTTTCTAGGAGCATTAATTTTTATGTTTGCTGGAAACATACCTGTCAACATGTGAGATTAACTAATCCCTAACCCCCTCGGGACCATTGAAATCCTGCTTAACCTTGTTGGGTTCAGCATGGTTAAGGCTGAGCGTTGTTTGGAGGTGATCTGTGCTTTACACTTAAAATTGCTCACTGAGCAGTGTTTTGAATGCGCCCAGGAAATAATTCAAGCTTGAATGAATAGTGAAAGTCAGAGTTAGACGGTGTGTTCACAGTGCCCTTGACCTAACCTGCGTAGAGACGCACGCACATAAACATAAAAGGATTTTTTGTGGGTGGACCCAGAATCTTTACCAAGTCACAAACAATGAGTAAAGGTTTTTGGGGAGGTTATATTTGGAGATTTGTCATAGAAACGGATGGGTGGATGTCAAAATGACGTGGTGATGGGGAATTTTCTTTCAATTACCAGGATTTCAACAACCTTGAGAAGCAATTAAAAACCATAATTTAGGATATTTTAGACAGGTGCACGGATTTTCCTATAATTGTTTATGACCGTCTGGAATCATGACTCATGAAATCATAAATTGGGTATTTGTATATGATTTTTTTTTAAATGATACTTTACATTACAGCCAAAAAAACTAAAATAAGAGAAAAGCACAAACTTTCAACCATACTGAGGAAAACGGGAGTCTTCACTTTGACACGTTGTTTACAAACTCAGGAAGTCAAGCCAGTGAGTGAATGAATGTGAAATTGATGCTTTAAACTCTTTTTCCCTTTATTTCCTCATGTCATAAGACCGGGGCCCAGCACCATTTGTAAACCACAACATGCAGAATCGCCACAGTTTGCAGACTGCATGTGCATTAAAGTCGGGCACTGACCTTTTTCATTTCCAACAAACATTGCCTACCATTTTGTTTGGGCTGCCAAACTATGTATAGAGATCATTCTTGGTTCTTTTAAATCAAGGTTCAGGTTTGTCCGATTTTAAGCTGACTGTAAATTATTTTCACGTAGTGTAATTAGGTCTTACAAGTGCAGATGGCTAGCCGTATTTTTGAGAGTTAGTGGTAGGCAAAAAGTGGTACTTCAAACAAGCCTACATATGTCTCTCTAATTGCTTGCCATTTGTACGGGCGGCTGAAGTTAGTGGAGAGTTAACCTTTGTTCGGTAACAGGTTTTTCCTCAAAAGTGCACATTTGCCCAGTTGATGTTAAAGAGGCAGGTGTTTTCCTTGTGTATCTATAAAGTAACGTTTATTATTTGGTGTTTTGATAACTGTGTGAGATTTTTGAACAGATTTTTGAAGCTGTAGTCTATAAACTGTTGGTCCCCAACTGGAACTTTAAAAAAAGGTGTGTGAAAGAGCCTTTTGTATTCTGGACCGGACGTCAAGACGTTTGTTCTTCTTTCAGGAAGTGTTTCTGGGAATCATATTTTTTTCTGCCAAAGTACACAAATTGCAGTGAAATGGCAAACCTCTGTTGTATGCCCCTAAGCTGAAATTCCTCCCAACGACGAGTAAATACGTGACATATTTTAACCATTGTAGAAATAACAGAATGCAGTGTCAGTTGGCAGTAGCTCAGTATGTATTGCTTGTTTGTACCCAGGGTTCCCGCGGACTGGAAAAGTCATGGAAATTTGGTTTTGTTTTCCAGGCCTGGAAAAGTCATGAAATTTTGTAGGAATGACTAAAGTCATGGAGTTTTTCAAACACTGTGTGTGATTTCTGTTATCAGGAACAAGTGCATAAAATGTGTGATTTTATTCACAGCTGTTAGTCAGACTAGTCCAAGAAATTGCATTATTTGGTCATGGATTTTCATAATTTGGTCATAGAGAAGTCATGGAAAAGTCATGGAATTTAATTGTCCTTTAGGTGCAGGAATCCTGGTACCCAACCGGGGAAATATGTGCCCAGGTTTTTGAGCAGGTTGAAATGACATCAGTCTGTCTGCTTAAACCTGTGCAACATGGCCTCGCACACATTATTTGAAGCCTTCAAAACCTTGTGATGACCAAGGTCAAAAAGCTTGGCGGGCAGCCTTGATCTCATCCAACACACTGACAGCTTTAGATGAACTTTTAGGGAGGGTTGTTTTTAATATGAAAAGACCACTGCTTCAACGGCGACTGCACCCCCCCCAAAAAAAAACAATACTTGCGGGGGTGGTAAGCCTATAGCGAGACAGGGTGGAGTTACCTGTGGAAATGTATTCATGGGTTCCGTTGGGGATTGCCTTTGGGGGTGTGGTGGCATAACTCGGGCTCCCAGGTATTGTGCAACTCCCACTACCCACTGCCACCCACACGTCCCAGAGGCTAATGCACTGGGTTAAAAACCGGGGATAAACTGGGTGGTGACAGGAATTCGAGGGTCAGCTTTTTATGAAGTGGATGTTGAGCTAGATTTATTTTGTGTGTGGGTGGGTGTGTATTTTAGCTACACAAGAGTGCGTTCAGAGCATACTCGACATAGCTCAAATAATTGCCAGGCCTGGTTGAGGAAAGTGTGGCTGGCACAATGTGGAAATGGTTCCCAGTGGTGTGGTGCTAAGTTGATTGGGAATGTCTTTGCGAGTCAAATACATGGGCTGAATGCAACGGACAGAGGCTGGCTGAAGTAGCACAGAAAGATGCAATGTAATGATGTTTTGTGAGGGTTCCGATGCGGTTTAGACCATTTACCTCGTCTCTGAGGGTTCGGAAAAATCAAGTTCACCACTCAGCCATCGGACCTCTGAAAAAATATATGTCAAGGGACACCAAGCTTTCTTAATACACAGATTGAGAATGATACAGATCATTCATACTCCAGAGCTAGTAACTTTTTAAAAATATAAAAAGAAAAAAAGATGCAGGGATGACTTGAAATGCTTATAATAACTTTTTTTTATTCAAGGTTGTTGCTTACATAATGTATCACTTGACAAGCACTTGATGGAAAGCTAGTTTTGTATCAAAATGGTCAAATATCAATTACCGTTGATTACTTTTCATTTGTGGCTGTCAAAATGTGAACTTTTGAAGCACTATTTCCAAATATGGTACATCTTCAATAAAAAAGCCTGCGTTGTAATTGACAAGTTATTTCATTATTTAGAGATCTCGGCTGATTTTGGGGAGGGGTGCTCTGTAAATTAAATAATGCGAATAACCCAACCTTAAATGATTCAATTAGTCATATGCCGCTTTTTCCCCCTTCCTTTCTGTCCAAAATTGAAACATCCAGGTTCGTGTTGCAAAGAGCTTAGAATGAGCAGGTTCAGAACTTGTGCAACATTTTCAAATCTGTCAACTTCTGGGATTATGGTCATCGCCACCCACATTTTTTGCTACTGTCACCATTCGTTTGACTCATCTCTGCCGACGAGGTCACGCTTTGCCTCTAAAATGCACTTCTGCCCTCCCCACCTAGGAAGCTTTTGATGATTTATAGAGTGGCTTAAGCACAGAATTTGCTCAAGCACGAAAAAAACCTCGCTTAAGAAACAATGGTTCCCATCTCAAACTCTATGTGATTGCCATGCTAATCAAAAGACAAGGTAAATACCATTCCAAAACAATATACACCGCAAGACGTTTTGGCTGGTAACCTGATTTGTCAAGCAAGGTTTTTTCACGCGTAAACCAATTTTTCGCTTAAGCGGTGCTATGAAATAGGCCGTAACGAAAGCTTGATGTAAGTTTATCTACTTGTATGCATCCAGGGGTTACACTGAGATTGAGCACAGATTAGTAGTGAGACATGTGTGGCTAAACCTCCCCCCCCCCTAAAAAATGCTGGGAATCAGATAAACAGTAGGCTCCAAATTACAACACTTTTTGAGAAAATGACACCCTTCAAACAGTTGTTTTTTCTGGTTTTGTAGGAAAAATATATCTTTAATTTTGCATTTATTAGGTTTACAAATAGTTTGAAGTAAATGCATTTGCCAATGATGTACTGCAATAGCAATTAGAATTAAAGTTTTAAGTCTGACAGGACTGTTTTGCAATTACTCTAAATATAGATCTATCAATTTCTCATTTTTACCAGTTTTTCACATTTTTGAAATAAATATATCGGGAGAGACGAAAAACCACTAGCATCAGAAAGACTGGCACACAGGAGTTGTCCTCAATCATTCTGCCAATAAACATAACGTTATTGTTATCAAGAACAAAATGCTTTGAAAAAATTGGGCTTTTACGGAACGCTTTAAGATGGGAATAACGCAGATTTACATGTCACTAAATGTCAGTTGGTGCCACTCAACTGGTGCACCCATGTTTGTGAAATTTCTTTGAAGTCTGCACAAGCCCGTCTTATGTTCAGGGGAAGTTGGGCACATGAGAGACTGTTCAGTCAGTTTCTCACACACCCGGGTGTGTATTTGCCTGCAACTGTGGACCCCCTATTGTTCCTCTTTTGTTTGTACTTTAACTTTTTTAGAAGGCCACCCACATGTTTTGTACACAGTTCTCAATCGGGGACCTTATTGTCCTCTATTTTTCAGGGTCCCCAGTTGAATGCAGAAACAAACTCACACACACCCTTACATCTGTGTACCTGTGGGGTATTTCCTTTGTTCTCGTGTGCTAAACTCCCACACAACACGGAAAAAATGTCAGATCACTGCCATTTCAACCAAATTCAGTTTCCTGGGTTGAAATTGTGGCCGTATGTCCCTTATATAAAACACTTCATTTTGCGACAGATGAATGGCACATGAAAATTCCTCCTTTTTGAGTAAATTTGAAATATCTATTTCGTGAAATTCTTGTGGGGTACCACTTTAGTACCCCACAAGGATCAAAACTGGCCTTGCGGGGTACCTTCCATTGTTCCGGTACAAGCGCACCCAAACATCATGATTATGTCACAGTTCAGACCATGGAGCTATAGCTCCATGTTCAAACAAACCACCCATGTTCAATTCATCTCTGTTCAATTCATCCCTTCAGACAGTCTTCCCAGCATAAGTGCCACTGTCATCCGGTGATAACCGGTGCCCATACAACTGTACCCCGCCACCAGCAGAATAGGGCCATTACCAATGACTCCACTTGGAAGCCATGTTGCGGTGGTGCTACATTCGCCACACAGGTTGCATGCGTACGTGCATGTGAAATGCCCCTTTGGCAACGGGATGGTGGGATTTGCTATAAGCAATGTTTTCCTCGGGCATTCCACATCAGCGCAAATACAGTGTCATTGCGCTGGAAAGGCATCTCCTCGCGTCAGTCTGTAGGTGTTAACCCTAAAAGGGGGGGGGCGTGCATTTATTCCACAAACTGAGCCTCCAGGAGTTTTCTTTTTGGTCAGTTGCTCTCTGCAGTCATTTAACACCAATTTTGTGAAAATGGGACACACCCTTCTCGTCCAGGGCTCATTTTCTTTGAGATAGGTCAGCCTATGTATACTTTCCCTCTGCCATGTTCAATGCATCCAGGATGGCACGTGTGCGCCTTTCAACTTCAAATGAGTGCGGCAAAACAATGTACAATGGATAGAGATGAAACTTCTCATTTGTACTGGTAAGGAGTGTCTTTACATGCACACCCAAGTTTTTAAAAAAATCAAGCATGGGACAGCCAAGTTCGGGGGGGGGCAGAATTTCTCCCTCCCCCAGCTGTAAGATGGTCCAAAATAACCCGGCTCCTCTAGGGTTAAGTCAAATTTCCACTGATTTCACATTCTCAAGACCTAACCATCCACCCAACTGAAAATTACAGCAGGTTAACTTTCTCAAACGTCGCACATTTAGAACTGGAGGAAACATTGGCTCCAATGAAAATAACGTTGCAAGCAGATGGTCTTGACCGGCTGAAAGAACAAGTTACCAGAGCTCAACTGGTTTCTGTATTTCTCAACTTCCTTTGATCCTCCTCTTGACCCTCTCTCTTTGAGTTGCTGTCAGGTGAGGAAGGAGTGATTTCCAATCTGACTTGATTAGAAAAATTTGAACACCAGACATTCTGCTACAGTCAGAAGACATTATCTCCTCAAAATATTACTTCAAAAGTTTTTAAATACTCCAGTTTTATTTCCTTTATTTTTGCCACTACGCATTTAATTGAATTTCTTCCACCTCATCAACACGGAATTTTATCTTTGATCATGTTGTGGTTTGCATACTGAGTTACCAGTTTAGTATGTAACTGATGTCCCCCCTCATTTGTAATTTACAAATGAGGGGGGAAATCAGTCAAGAGATACTTTTACGCATTACGATAAACCTAACAACAAATGGAGGAAAAATCATCTCACTGGACAATGCGGCACTGTAATTGCAGATTAAATCTTATAGAGAAATCATACATGGATATATTTAAATATAAAATAAATGCAATTTCACCTCAGGCAAAATATAGCAGGTATCGTTAAATATAACTTTTTTGTGTGTTCCCCCTATTGCAGTCCCTCATAAAAAATTTACATGGATGTTACAGAAAACTACAGTAAACACACTTTGTTTATACAGTTGGGACAAAACGTTTACATACACCCAGTAGATCAAAAACAGTTTTCCTCATATTTCTCAACTTCACTCATTCCTACCAACTTTTCTTTTCACGAGGGCAGACAAGATTGGTCTCTACTTAATTAATGTACAGGGTGTATGCATCAAATAACAACACCCGGAGATATATACATAATCATACTTACATTTACCCAAAAAAAAAATCAAAATTTCACATACTCCAACGCTAATATTTGGTTCCACTGTCTGTAGTTTTGGTCACATCTCATAGTCGCAGTGGACCACTTTCTGAAGTGTTTTTGAACGACAGTAAGGGGTAGATATAAATGTTCAGAAAATGATTTTTCTGAAATAATACTCTTTCGAACCATAATAAATGTCTCCGAGTAGTTTCAATTGAAGTACATACTATGACCATTAACCCCAACAGTCCCAAATACTTAAATTTCAATATAATTTTACATACACCCTAGGGAGTTAGGGTTAAGTTGAGACACAATTTGTCTGACCTCGTAAAGAAAAAGTTGGGAAAACTATTTCAAACAGCGAAAAAATGAGGAAAACTGTTTTTCTACCAAGTGTATGTGAACTTTTTGCCCCAACTGTATGTTGATTATTTAATGCACGTGGCTGAAAATCTGTACATGACTCAGTTTTGGTAAAGTGCGTGTGACTGCAACACGTACACCAACTAGAGCAATACATTGCTATATGACCATTGCAAAGTCACATCAAGGCTTGATAAATGGCTACGCACACCACTTGTGTGGTAAAAACAAAGGAAAAAAAAACAAAAACCACTTGTTGCTAACGGATGTTAACTGAGCGACTAATGTCTATATTTATGAAGTCATGAAAGAAAACTGAAACTCGAAATCCGAACCCAACCCGCCGGGATTCTGTGGTTTCACAGAGATGTCATTTCCTTGGCAACAAAGCAAACAGATACTAGCAACGCCTTGGGTCTGAAAAAAATGCACATCCTCGCACCATAGCAACACGTATTTGTCAAAAAAAAAATTTACAAATTAGAAAACAGCACTGTGCATATAGGAAGTTCCGCTGGAATGAGAAACCCCTCTAAGCTTTGGTCATTATAAAAACAGATTAACCTGCCCTCAAATCCACCACAGTATTTAAGCTCAAAGCGTTATCTGCACCGTATTGCAAAGAGTTGCTTTATTGAGTCAACTATTTGTTTGCCAACTGCAACTTTTAATTACAAAAACGATGAAGCCAAGTGTCCCATCACACGTCACATTCACCACCTTTAATTTTCACAGAGCCAGTCTGCGGCACGCTGCCTCCGGTACTTTCAATTAAAGTTGGGGTTAAAAATTGCCCAGATCTTCCAGAGCCAGAAGGAAGGAAGGACGTTGGTGACCAAATTAGGTGCTTAGAGAGAGGAAAAAAAACCCAAACAACTATGAACTGGTTTGTTTACACGATGGGTTCAAAACTTTATTTGGCGATTACGCACGCTACACTCAAGGGATGTGGTCAGATCGGACGTCAGAGTGCATGCCCTACCCCATATGAGTCTGTATTCTACCCCACCTTGGGCAGAAACTGAGTATTTCCTGTTAGAGAGAGACAGAAAAAAAAAGAAAAAAAAAACCGAAGCACCCGAACTAACATTTCATGATACGCTTTTAGATTATCAGCAGGATATGCCATCCACCCTCCCACTCGCACTCATGCTTTCAGACATACCTAGTCGACCTCCAAACATATGAGCTGTAAATGTGAAGGTCGAGTTGTGGTGGTGCAATACGAGATGAGTTTTCCCCCCCTTTTTTTAGTAGTTGACGTGTGAGTTCGCAGAAGTACAGGACTTCATAATATTCATCACGTCACGTTCAAATCAGGCATATCCGGGCAATGAGGCAATTTCTTTTGGTTTGTTTTAGTAGTACTCTGCAGGTAGACATCTTTTTGTGTGAAAGCATCGTTTCATTGCTTAAAATCTATTTTCCTCGATCAAATTGCTGTATTTTTTTCAACTCCGTCTGTCACAGAAAAATTATGGGCAGAGGGTCGCTGTCCGCTTTTGTGCCTGTCTCCAGATGTCCCAAAATCTAATGAAGTGAAATTTCTAC